TGGAGGACTTAACATACTCTATCATATCCCCCCTCCCCCCCCCCCCCCCCCCCCCCTTTGATTGTAACTAGTCCTGTCAGGTAGGTCTGATAAGTGGTGTCTTTCCTGTGGAGGGGTCAGAGGGGTAGATGGTATAGAGGGTTTGTGGGTAATATGGTAAAGGGGGTTAGAGGAGTTAGAGGGTAAGCTGGTAATGAGAATTAAAAGTTGGTTTCAGAGTATTGTGGTAGGGTTCGCTTTAGGGCGGCAAAAAGCTGAACTTATAATTGACATACATAACAATTTTCCGGCAACAAAATTATAGCGATGATTTTTGATATAAATAGTGTTGATCAGAAAGTACACACGCCTCCCTTGCTGATGATACATTAACTGAGTCCTGGGTGGGGAGATTGTAATTGTTTAGGCCTCAGATCTCGTCACTGTACAGTCCTTCTCAAAGAACAGCAGACTGGCTAGCTTGTACCATATCTGTGTCTCTGACATGATACTGCTGCAATGGTCACGTGTTCCACGCCCACGTGCAGGCGTAACGGTCACGTGTCTGATGCTGGAGAAGTGCACGTGGTGGAGCGGGAGAGGACTGTTTGGATAATTTGGAAAGCGTTGATTCCCTACGAAACAGCAGAGAGATTATGGGCACTGAAAAGATAAGAAAATGTTTTCGTTGAAGTGATTTTTATCGTTCAGTAATGAAATTGATATTGAAAAAACATGGATTTATTTAAGGACAGTCCCCTATCATCAACAAAGAACACAAAGAGTTAAAGTTATTAAATAGTTATATATCAAGAAATAGAAAATAACTGCGGTAAAAAACTTGGTGCCGTCCACCAAAGGTACCTGTCTGAAGGAACTGAATGGCCACCTCTTCCAATGTGGATCACCCACTTCGGATGGTAACATCTCTAGTCTTGGAAGGAGTTAATTTTACTGATGAGTTTAACTCCCAACAGTTCCAGCTGACCTTCTCATTCTCTTGGTAACCAGTCTATACCAACGTGTCAGTGAAAAGTTAAAGTAGCCTGTTAGTTGAATATAATTTATATATATTCTGTAATATAAGGATAGAACATTTATTATGGGTCGCATTGTTGTGATGTTTTCTGATGAAATTTCTGATTAATAAATAACTAATTGAAATACTAGAGTTTTTTGTAGAACATGAACAACATCACGAAAAGACATATAAAATTCACGAAACATACACAGAATGAACGAAAGCGAGGTATCTCGCGCCCACTTGTAGCGGCCACAATCTTTACCGATAAGAGTACGAACACTATCTGTTCTAGTCACATTTCTCTTTATCACGTCCTGATGTTTATGTAAAATTGTGGTTGAATATGCTGAAATATTTAAAATGTTCCTGAAGTTTATGTTAAATGTGTTGAATATGCTAATCTGGTTCAAATTGTTGGAGGGAGGGGGTTTAAGTCAGGCATTCCTGACATTGACTCTACTATTATTTATAAATTCAAAATCATGTTAAGAAGATAGCAGCAACTAATCTATATTATTTACCGTGCTCTATTTTATGTGTACTGAAGAGTGCCTTTACAATATTCCACATTGTGGTGTAGATTTCCTCCATATCCAACAGGCAACACTGAATGAGTGATGGATAAGGGGGTTTAAGTCAGGTGTTCCTGACATGTATTCAAAATTGCATTGAGAAGATAGCAGTAATTAATCTACATTATTTACAGTGCCCTATATGTGTACTGAAGGGTACTTTAACAATATTTCAGTTTGTGGTAGGATTACTCCCCATCCAACAGGCAGCACGGAATAAGTGATGGATGAGGGGGTTTAAGTCAGGCATTCCTGTCAAAAGATCTATAATTAATCTTGTAAGGGTACCACACAGTAGACATTATATTGTTGATTGTGAACCAAAAGTTTATTCATACCCACAATCGATAAATTATAAATCCAAATAGTCATATAAGCAATGCAATACTAAATTGGTGAAATTGTATTAACTGAATTGACAAAAGGTAATCAGCCAAGTAAAAGTATCTCAACAATATAACATTGAAGTATTAGAAATGCCACTCTACTATTATAAAACACTTAACTGTACTGTATTAAACAATATTAAATGAAATTAAGCCAGAGAAGGCATGAACTTCACAAAAGGACAAAACACTACCGGTACAAAAACTTAAATGAGTTTCAGGGAAGGGTTACTAAAATTTTACGGTAGCGCTCGATTTTATTCAAAAATTTTCAAAGTGCTCAGCACCACGAAAAATATAATTTTTTCTTCCGCTTTCAAAAATTGTTTTGACGCTGAAAAACTATTATTGAACAGTATTAAAACACTTTGTGGGCAAAAATATTTCATTGTGGATGTATAAAGAGCCGAAAAAATTTAGCGCGCAAAAAAACATTTTTTTTGGGAGGTTTTTTAAAATTTTGACCAGGTAAACTCTTGTGTGTGCTTATTATATTGGTATAAGCTAGTGCGGCAAATAAAAATGTACAAGAACCCAAAATATTTAAGCTTTTCGATTGAATTAACCTGTCGAAATTTCTAAAAAACCTCAAAAAATGGCCATTTTTGGGGCCAAAAATCGGTTTTTTCAAAATAAAACCAGGTAACCCCCATTTTAAACACTTCTAACCACTTTTAATCGATTCTACGGTCAAAAATACGTCTTTTAAGATGGGTCTGGTGATTTTAGTGTATCAAGCAGAAAAAGCCCGTAAGAGCCTCTACTATAGTGTGTACTGTGATAATTAATTGTTTGCCGCAGATTAAATATGGTTCGTGGTTTTGGTCATGGTTATTTGGAGACCTCAGCTGTCAGTCATGAATAAGTCCACCTACAACGATTACATACGCATCTAATGATTTAATCATCTCGATATAGGGTCCTAACTGGAAAATCAGGTTTATCAAACGACAGCTGTAAAGAAGAAAACCAGAAAATCCTGTTTCGCGCTGTCGACAAAGTCGCAGAATCAAAAAATGAACAGACCGACGTTTCACCTGATGATGGAGACTCCAGAAAGGTTGTTAAAATAGGACATTGAGAATCCAGGATAGGTCCATCTGACCGTCACGTGATCAACTTGTCCCGACCAATCATATGCCTCCGTTTTATCACGTGGTTATGATCAGCTGGCTGGAGGCACGTGGGGCCATCTGAAAGGGTGTTCAATTAGAGGAACGCTGATGTGATTACCATTTTGGCAAGTCATGGATACGTTAATTCCGCCAAGGCTGTCTTGCGTCTACTCATTTTAAATGATATGAATCAAAGTTTTCGCCTATATCGTACTTTTTTATTGGATTTCTGAAATGTGAATTATCTTAACAAAATCAGCAACCATAATTCCGTGAAATTTCCACAAAACATGACCCAAAGTAGCGGAAGGTTAAGTAGTTTGTAGAATCGGAGAGGTTGGTGGGCCGTTATAAATATAACGCGTTAATCTATTATCGGTACCGGTAGCACGTTCTTTTCAGTCATGTTCTGATTGTAATTTCCGATCACCGAGATTAAATTAGTTCCGAAGCACGAACTTTTCAATTTGTAATTGTGGTGAGATAGGATTCAAATAAACTTATCGGATTTCGCCTTCAATATATGTGCTGTTAGTGTTGTGCATTGTGCCGGTGCTCATTTTTATGAAATAAGATAATACTGTAATTTAGTTTTGGAAATCTGGCGGGGAGGCAAACATTTAAACATTTTGACTGCACCAGTCCGGCAGTCACTGTGCGCGGCGCTATTTTCAAGCTTCCTGTATAAATATAATACGTGAGAGGAGCGAGCAATAGACTAGCAAGCTAGGTAACAGCGACTGAAGTATGTACCTTGAACATGGTATGGTTTATCAAAACACATATTTCCCAAAACCTAAACTTAAACTTAAAGCATGTATGTATTTACCAAGACATGTTTCATTGAATTTGAAAATTGATCTAAATTCTAAGTGTTTTTGGTTTTGGCATAACTTTTACTCTCTTAATAATAATAACGGGAAAATTAAATTCGTTTGGATTTCCTCATATAGTGTAAATCACCGAGCGTGCTATTAATCACTCTGTAATCGAACTTAAAGGGCCCACGACAGTTGAAACCAACTTGAATAGATGTATTTGTACCAGGGACAAAAGGATTTCGCGATTATTTTGGTCAAATTCGCGATACCGCGAATTTTAACAGACTATACATTAAACTATACATAAAATTTTTCGCAAATAATGGGAAAAATCGCGATTCCGTACATGCCGCGATTTCCTTTTGTCCCTGATTTGTACTTGTATTACTACTACTAGTAATATAGTATTGACCGCTGATTTCGAATTATTACCCCACATGGAATGGCCCTCTTGGTGATTAAACACTGTTTGAGTTTCGGTCACGTGACATGCCCATAATCCATATATGGAAGTTGATCTAATTTCTCGTTAGGGTTTAGTATATGCTAAAGGTTGCTATTGGTAAAAGCCCTGTTCTTCTTTAAGAGGCAAGGTACGTCAATCAGTAGGACACATCACACAGTGACGTAAAATACAAAATAGGGCATATGGCAACACTTTGTCACGTTTTGTAAAACAAATTCAATTTATTGGGCAATGGGCCACCGCCGCTCCATCTTTCAAATCCATCTCCCTGATTACTTTATACAACTGATCTAAGTCGGGTCATTGATTTAATAAAATTTTACATGAGCAGCTTTGGCATTCTAATGTTATTTTGCATTTGATCCTAATAAAATATTTGTATCGCGTGAGAACTAATACTGGATTCATTGATTTCGGGGGCACTCACGACGTCTCTCCGAAATTAAATATAAAGGAAAACGATATACTGACCAGAAGGTGTTACTGTTACGTATTATATTTATTATTAAGATATTATTGATATTCTGAAATATGTATTTGATTTTAAACGATCCGTTTAAATCGATCACTCAAAATAAACTCCAAATTTAACGGAAATTCCCTCATAAATCTTAGATCGTCAAAGTAAAACAACATATTTTGATACCAATTATTATGATATTATGTATTTGGTTTAAAACGATGTTTAATTCGGATCTTCAATATAAACTCCAAATTAAGATAAAGTTGCCTCATAAATATCACATGAAAGAAAAAAATATTACCATCATAAATCCTTGACATATGGCATACAGTACATTCTTTTCGAGGCATTAAACAGTTAAAAATTATATAATTAAGTAATTAGATGTGAGAAACAATAGTGGGATCAAATAAAACATAACGGTATCGAGTATCTTCACCAGATCTGATTTTAGTGGGACTGATATCTGAACCCCCAATTGTAGCATATGTTCACTGAGAATGTTCTTATAGTTATACTCTGTAATATCTTCACGTCAACCATCTAAACTTCTATAAAACAGCTGAATAAAAATATGTACACTACCTCCTCCAGTAAACCCCACCCGTTGTCCCTGACATTAGTCTAATCGCATATATCATATCGGTAAACTCAATAACTTCAGTTAAGATAACCGGAATCAGCTCACAAAGCTCTAGGTCTGCCAAAGGTCATGCCCTCTTGGTTAGCCCCCTTGAAGCCCCCCGCCTGCATCCCTACTATTGAGGCTCCCTTGTTCATGGTTTCTTGGTCGAAGTTTCGTTCATACTTCACCGAGAGGTCCGGTCCTAGAGCTGGTAATTCCTTGTTAGCTCGTCTTGCCTAAAGGGGAACTTTAGTTAAAATATCTTGCCTAAAGGGGAACTTAAGTTAAAATAATGTCTTGCCTAAAGGGGAACTTTAGTTAAAATATCTTGCCTAAAGAGGAACTTTGATTAAAATATCTTGCCTAAATAAAGAGGAACTTTAGTTAAAATATCTTGCCTAAATTAAGAGGAACTTTAATTAAAATATCTTGCCTAAAGGGGAACTTTAGTTAAAATATCTTGCCTAAAGGGGAACTTTAGTATAATATTTCCCGAACTTCTACTCGAGATTATAATCTATACAGTGTACATTATAAATATTAATATTAATTACTCAAAGGTTCCTTAGAGAGTTATAAATGATTTGCTAGTTTTTGACAAATAAATTGGTAAAGGGCGAAATACTGAATGCATACTAAGAAATCAGTCGATGGAAGTTCTCAGTTCTAAAATAACGTGCTACTTTACCAAATATTTGTATAGTTAGTAGTAATGAAAAGTGATTCAATATCATCAATCAGCATGCTTACATACGATTTGGTAATGCGACCAATTTGTGCTTTCTTCTTTTTGCCAGTGCACATTTTACATTCAAATATTTCTTTTAAAAATATTTGATGCGCGTGAAGGCGCTGATGAAAATAAGATGGGGAAAAAGCGCACAATTACTTGCGCTAGATTTGCATATTAGAAAAAATACTGAATTAGAAGCTTCTTAAGCTTTCCGGTCATCTTTGTTAACCAGAAGACCCCGAAAGGTACGCACTCTATATACGCATAGCCATAATTGTGGAGTTTTGAATAGGGGTACAATAAGGGCGGGCATCCTCCGTCCATTCTTCGGGCCTGACCAGATGAGATTACATTTATATCGGATTAATTAAAAGTTATCTCTTCGCACTCTTGTGTTATCGTAATTCGTGATAACTGCATTTGTGTTTAGGGGCCTCATATTATTACGGAGTCCACATTTACATACTTATTAATCTTGGTACGAGGTCAATATCATGACTTATCTCAATAGTATTCAAAATGTTAACCAGACAATTTCAGGACCAGTGACCTGTATAACGTCCCACGACCAGAGCCATTGACGTCACTCCAGAGTTCCAGAGTTTGTGACGTCACTAAAAAGCGAGTTGACGTCACTCCCTATAACTTACGTATCTAGCGACAGCAGTGATGCCCCAGAGCACTTGGGTCATGTTGGCTGCCTCGAACAGGTCTACAGTCTGGAACAGTTCTACCACAGGTACATCCAGTTTCTCTGTTGCGGCCATCAGGAAGAAGTTGATGTTCTCCATCTAGGGAAATATTGGGGTAAAATTAGTGAACAAGACGTCGCGTGACAGGCAGAGAATGTAAAATAAAAGGTTTAAACAAACTGAATAACTGAATATCTTTAACAGAATTAACAAATATGAGTTATTAGAGACCAGGTAGCGTACTCAAGTTCGACACGTACTCTAGTTCGACACATACTCTAGTTCGACACGCACTATAGTTCGACACATACTCTAGTTCGACACGCACTATAGGTCGACAACTTAACTTCGCCAGATATCACCCCTGTCGAACTTCGGTACGTGCCGAGCTAGAGCCCAGGTAGCGTACTCTAGTTCGACAAATAGTTTCTGCTTATGATCCAACGGCTATTGCCGGGTCCTCATCATAGGATCACAGGGTTCAATGGCAGATAAAACAATTTTCTGATATCTACAATCTAGCAACCAGCTTACCAGCGGTTAGAAATTCCAGAACCTTTCAGTATAGTTTTAATTCTCCTGTTTGCCACTCAGTTCTGGTCTAGCTAACAGGAAAATAGATTGATATCCGACTGTTTCCGGTTCAGCAGCCAAATCTCTAGACTGGTACTCGGTTACTAGTCGTTTGTGATAATAGAAAGTGTGGTATGTGGTAGATATTTATAAAGCGTATTCTACAATCTAGATCTATAAAACGGAGTACGAGTTACCACGTTAGTTTTTTATCTCTCCGCTTATAAATCTACAATTCTGATAACTAACAATTGAGTATGAGGTCAATCAAATGTTCATATATTATATGGATTATAGAGATTACATTTGCACATGCATACATTTTACACAAGTGGAAAACAAACAAACGAATAGATTTCAAGCTTGTAAAGGATTGTTGCTTGAGATCGGAGATTTCAAAAATCTAGTTCGACAGTCGAAGTTACCTTGTCGAACTTTAGTACGTGTCGAACTTGAGTCCAGGTAGTACTTTAGTTCGACAGAGTCGAACCTTAGGGTTTGTAGAACTACAGTACGTGTCGAACTAGAGTGTGTGTCGAACTTGAGTACGTGTACCGTCTGATGCAAGTCAGCCAGTCACCAAGCTGCAAATTGGTACAGCACTACAGCTTCGACTGGAGATGCACACTCCCATGTTCGTAGTACTGACCCCTCGACAGATATTATAGTGCCTTGAGACAGAGTGGCTTGGGGTTACAGAAAAAGGAGCGCACCTCAGGCCATCCAAATTCTGGGAGTGACCTGCCCTTGTATTTGCTCTAACCTGAGCCCTCTCGCTAGCAGTAGCGCGCGCCCACGCGAAGGCACATGGTTAGTTGAACCCTAGTAAGCTAGTACATATCTATCTTGTATTACTAAAATCAATACAACTAAGGATCAGGAAGAAAGATCCGACATCGGTGATCACTGATTTATGAATTATGATCCGTGATCACTGATTCGTGATCCGTGATCACTTCATATTAGGCTATGCAGAAATCAAGAGAAGATTATCGACATTGTTCTCTTGAGGAAGGTGCATTATCTTACAACCATTCTGGAGACGGGCACGAGCATGTTACTGTTAACAGGAGTCAGGATAATAGCACTCAATTGAATTCCAGAAGTGTTCTGGGGGTGATACATTGTCTTCAGGAGAAGGGATCTTTTGCTCTATTGTTTTGAAGAGAACTGGTACACTATTGTTCTCAGGAGAAGGAAACCGGTGCTATTCTGTTTTGAAGAGAACTGGTGCACTACTGTTCTCAGGATAAGGAAACCGGTGCTATATTGTTTTGAAGAGAACTGGTGCACTACTGTTCTCAGGAGAAGGAAACCGGTGCTATACTGTTTTGAAGAGAAATGGTGCACTACTGTTCTCAGGAGAAGGAAACCACCAACCGGTGCTATACTGTTTTGAAGAGAACTGGTGCACTACTGTTCTCAGGAGAAGGAAACCGGTGCTATATTGTTTTGAAGAGAACTGGTGCACTACTTTTCTCAGGAGAAGGAAACCGGTGCTATACTGTTTTGCAGAGAACTGGTGCACTACTGTTCTCAGGAGAAGAAAACTAGTGCTCTAATATTTTCAGAAGAAAAGAAGTGGTGCTGTAAAAATTTTACTGGTAACCGGTGATAAAAGTCGACAGTTAGTTTTATTGAAATTTGGACAACATTTTGGCTTTTGCCTTCAGCAGAAAAATGATCGGTTTTATCAAGATAAAACCTAAATCGTTATCTGTTTATCTAGATAAAAGATTTCATACCGATAATGGATAGCCTACTTCATATCCGTGATCTTTGAATTGTTATCCACTATCCTCGATCCACTATCTATAGTCCGTGAACTGGTATGTGATTAACGAGACTGCTTACACTACCACGATGAAATTTAAATGAGACTAATAGTACGTGACATTTTGAAACACCTCAATAGATATCATACTGTGGTTGGAGCACTGAAAGGTGAAATACCATTCATACTTCATGTCGAATCAAGCATGAAGCACATTTGCGTGTACAAACAAGTAGACCTCTTCAGTCAACAAGTAGTCCTTATAGTCAACACAATGTGCAGAATCTCATTCGGTTTTTCTGTTGTACACGAGATTGCATGCTAGCTTGACAAACAATGTTTTGATTTGTGAGAAGTAAAGAAATCGCACATGGAGAAAGTATGAGCGCGCGACGCGCGGCCTAGTTTCTGTGATGTACGCTAAAACTTTCATAATAACCAAAACATTGCGCCTTACATAGAGTTGTACTGACCACAGTTCCACGTCCAATGTATTTTACATACCGGATCTTGTGCGGTATTACATATCATAGCCCCAGAACGATTAATTCTAAGTGTAAAATAAACAAATTCGGAGTTAGTGGGCCGTTAAGCTGTTCAACAAGTCGTGGTGGAGGAGTGGATAAAAGTTTAGCGGACTTTTAGAGACCCAACTATAAAACAGACAAATCAAATAATATCAGTCCTTAAATTCGAAAGAACGTTTGACTTCTAAAAGATGAGTTTAAAAGTACATTCTAGTCGATAAGCTCAGACGTTCTCATTTCGTAATGAGATTACAAGTCCAGCATTTGAAAGTAATACACGTTGTGTGGGGACAGAAAGCTAAAATTACAAATTTACATCACCTTACATGTTAACTTATTTCAATTCAGATTAACTTTAAAGTTGACTCACAATTTTAAAAGCAAACTTTGAGGTGTGCACTTTCGGGATACTTTCCGGGCTCAGGATGTTCATCAACCTGAAAATAAATACATTTTAAAAGAAAGAATGAGTCCGCTTGTCTAATAATCCTTCAGGGTGAGGTTTTCAGAAACCGCAAATCATTATTTTTATATTTACTGTAATTAAAACCCTGTGATAAAACCACATTGATTAACAAGTAAATTAGTGTTCATAGTTTGATATTCTAGGTGTGGCCAGAAGTTACTGATACTCTTATTAAGGTTCTAGATCCTGTTTTATTCCGTCATAAAATCATAGCCGAATATACACGATGGTACGGGGCACGGGCTACTGGCTAGTGGTGATTCTGCCTCTCCTTGCTTCACAAAAACGAAATTGGATACCACGTTTCCACAGAAACACTCAAAATAGACGATATAATATATCACATGGGAATATCCTTCATCTGGTGCCAATAAAGGGAACTAGTCAGTAATAGTCTGTTTTGGAGGTGCAGTTGAGCGTGTAAAACTGGGTTATTGAGTACTAAATATACAGTGTGGCTATTGTAAGCGGACTAGAACAAACAATGTGTGTAAGTTGGGGCGGCGGCTCGTGTAAAACATTGTGCATATTATTATACTTAAAAACGTATATTTCATAATATAACTCTCTATAGCGATAGCATAAGTCCGGTAGTCAACCCCTAATAATGGATGTTGGGGCTATTTTACCATTTCTAGTTTCTAACCTTTTAAATATACGAGAAGTCAAATTAAGTTCAGATTTCAGCCACCAATAGCTCGTGAAAACAGAACTACTGGCACACCATGATCTCATGTGTACATTGTGTCCCACTCTGTGTAACAGGTGAGCATTGTACAGCGCCCGTGTGTGCCAAGTGGGACCAGTTCATTTCGTCAATCGGAAATATTATTTTAACAGTTTGACGTGCATGACAAATTGAATAATTCCGATCTGTCGGTGAATTTTGAAAAAATACATCTGATGATTGGTACGGTCCGTGTAAAATCCATCAAAATTAAATTCTTTCTTTACATAACCCAATAGTTTCATTAACATAACCTTTTAGTTTTAATAAGCAAGTTCACGTTCTTATGGGCGCACAAATTTCTGTGTGAGATTATAAAAACCATAGAGGAGTTTTTTAAAACACATACACTCCCTGGAAAGTTAATAAACCACACTTTATGACTTGAGACGATTAGCAGATGGCGATTAGAACTTGTTATTTGAAAGCTCCCTTGACAACTCAGGTAGTTGAACTTCCTGTAAATTATATGATGATACATAGTACGAGTAATTACATGTTGTTCCCCTCCAGAACCCCGTCCAAAACCCCGTCTAAAACCCCGTCCAAAACCCCGTCCAGAACTCTTTCCAAAACTCCTTCCAAAACTTCCTCCAAAACCCCCTCCAGAAACCCCTCCAGAACCCCCTCCAGAAACCCCTCCAGAACCCCGTCCAGAACCCCGTCCAGAACTCCTTCCAAAACTCCTTCCAAAACTCCTTCCAAAACTTCCTCCAAAACCTCGTCCAGAACTCCCCCCAGAACCCCCTCAAAAACCCCCTCCAGACTCCCTCCAACACCAATCTTTATAGTTTAATCATGGATCAAGGGAAATAGTCTTACACTAGCTGACTAGATCGAACACTTAGAAGCTTCATATCACATCTAGCTGGATAGTCATTGTGTTATGACCATATTTGGGCATAAACTCCATTTCAATCAAATTGAAACTCTAGCATATGGACGAGTAGATTACATCACTTTGATTACATAGCTGAGTTATAGTAGATCTCTCTCACACACAGTGAGAACACGTGTTAAATCAGACTGCTGCTGTGCAATACTTATCACTCGACAAGCAATGAGTTATAATAGAGTTACAGTGAGGATCATTGACAAGGTGACAGCTTAGTACTTTAGTGTACTGATCAGTGATCAGATATTTACAACAATTTAGTCCGGAAAGCACAGGATATAAGAGATAACAGTGTACACTGACGATGCCTAACATAGCTGCGGGCTAACTATCAGCCCACAATATGATCATCACAGCTTTAAAGCTGACTTTAAAGCTGACTTTAAAGCTGACTTTAAATGTCTTCTGACCGGCTCTTTAGCAGTTCTACAACGGCTCTTAGGTATCTCATAACTGGTCATTGTATAAACTAATTCTACAACTAACCTGCAAAGAAGAAGACCGTCTTTAAGAGCCTCGTGGAAGCTCCCCTCCGGGAAGGGCTCCCCAACTACAGCGGCTATCCAGTGCCGGCACTGTGACTCTAGCTCCACGTCGTACTGTTTCTCTATCTGAAGAGGAGAGTTAGAATAAGATGTTTAGTAGCTCTCAAGTGATTGCAAGTCTAAACAGGTAATGTAGTACATGGTTACACGTTGTGCGTATTGAGTGTGGATTATCTGTAGATAAGCAGCATATTTGTTTACTGATAACGAATCGTGATAGATTGCTTTGCTTGTTAATATACAATTACTTTACCTATCTGACACCGGATCATTGCTAATTAACTGGGAAAATTTGGACGTTCCGAAAGCGCAGAAATTATTGAAATTATTGAAACAATGTTGCAGAAATACAAAACAGGAAACTTTCAAATATTCACTACTCGAGCGTTTTATAATTTAATGGTAAGTGTAAATGGATAAGATAGGGTTTAGTTGACTGTTTTCATCAGGTTACCCTATATAGTAACCCAAACTCGTGACGGTTTTAGGGTTGTTTCAAATACTAAGACTGAGTTGGCAGAAATTTAACGATATTCTCGAAGAAATGATTATAAACTCCTCCGGTATACTGCTTAGAGACGGGATAGAAAATAAAGGCGGCGTTATTTTGTTCCATCGCGCAGTTTTGCAGCGATCCTATAGGTTATTTAAGGCTCTCTCCTCATTCAACAGTGGGGTAACACTGTCATAGTCACATTGATCTAATTTTCGCTGCTGAAGATAACACTAAACTTCATTCGTCTCAAAACATATTATCAATAATCTTCTAGGGACTTTTTGCGCACATGTTTCATATCATAGTTTTTGGAGAATAAACACCTGTAAGTGGTGACTTTTGCGTCCCAGTGGTAATTTAATAAGCAGGACTTTGCAGAATATCCAGCCTTGCAAAATGCTGTGATCCTATTGGCTAGTGAAAGGTTCACACTCTCTCCTCATTCGATAATGGAGTTAACGTAATCACATTCCCACTGATCTAATTACTAACATTCAGCCTCCTCTTAATGTTGCAACGTGTCCCTCGTGTCCCTCGTCATAGTAGCTTTAGTACGGGAGTTTCGTTATAGTTGCCAAGGTACCATATAAACTCAGTACACTACAATTATTAGTATTTTCCGGCTTTCGGTTTTATTCTTTTTTTTCTGTTCTAGTGCAGATTCACGTCTTTGAATTATGTTAATCGTTTGTTTTTGATAATTTTAGGCTTGTCTCTCGATCCGAACTGCGATTGGTATGGTGATTCGGCTGGGTTGTTATATCGTTTTCTCTCTAACGACTATCACTGTAAGTATTTGATGCGTACAATTATTTTGTGGAGAAGGTAATTACCAAATATCACATGATTACCCAATCAATTTTGCTAACGAGACAAACAAATTGCTTGATAACTCCGTCATTTTAAATCCGTTTCGCGCCATCTTTTCAGATCATATCCCGGATTTAATGACCTATTTCAAGATTTTACATAAGAGTTTCAAACATGCGCACAAACACGAGTACAATGAACGAATAAAAACACCACCATATTATTCTATTCCTGTTAAGTGCTGATAAAGGATTTAGCACAATGAGTCATAGATACAAAAAAAGCAAGAAATATTACAATGTAAGTAAAATGTTCTGTAAAGATCAATACGTTTTGTATATTATCACAATATTCAACACTATTTCAAGTCTAATTTACACGTCAAGTAACCATGTTCTATCCCCCTTTTCACCGGCCCCGTGATGACTATATTCATTAATATTCCAATGGTTACAAAACAGTTTCGTTATTCTGTTAAGGCTCTTATGACGAAGTTTTTTGTAAGCCTTTTTATCATCTTCGGTATATTCAGCAGTCGTCTCAGGATGCAGGTTCTTAACTAGGAATTTTGGACACCAAACCACTTTCTTTCCAGCAGCTTTGAGTCTTAAAAACAAATCTTGATGCTCGTGAACTTTGAACTCTAGGCTCCAGCCTCCAACTTCTAGAATATCTTTTGTCTTTGCTATAAAACTCTTACTGGTCAGATCACATCGTAAACAGTCCGGATAGAAAGGTAAGCCCTGATTGGCTGCCCTACAAGAACCATGGTAATGAACCAGTTGTGGGTCTCCGTTATCATCAGCTCGGAAATCAAGAAACGAGTTCCAATCCTTATTGTCAGTTCTCCCGCCGACCAACGTCAGGTCAGTAGTGTCTAAAAGATCTGTCATCTTTGCAGCGTCCCACGTTTTGGTAACCACGTTATCGTCGTCCATGTTGACAAAGTATTTTGTCTTTACCATTTTAACTCCTGTCATTCTACTTATTCCGAGATCGGCCTTCTCTGATACAATGTATTTTATGTTGGGAAAATTGGCAATTTGAGCCATTATTTCAGGGGTATGTGGCATGGGCCCATCGTCAATAACAATAATTGGTAAGTCTTGGTTGAGTCTCTTTCTTATTGATTCAGCAAGTCTGATAACCAGAAGAGGTCTTCGTGCTGTTTTGACTATTACAGTTAAACATTCAGACAAGTTATTACACCTGTTTACTTCAATTTCTGGAAGGAGTTTAGCCATTGGTGGTCTATGGTTGGCACGGCAGGCTGTTAAATTACAGGACTTTTCATTGATTAGTGGCATCATTAGGGCCGCTCTATCACGGAGGAATGTAGACTCATTTAAAAGTTTGATTTTAGATGCTGTTGGAAAACATTTTGTTAGAGCTACAGCCGCACCCAAATGCGGACCTGTAGCAGGTTTATCTCTATCTTTGCAAGGAGAAAGACAACGGATTTCACTCTCAGCTGTATTCCCAGTTCTGAGTATGAGCTTTTCGCTCTCTAATGTAAGTCGAATAGCTTCAGCGCAGTCGAGAAGGTATAGCTCATTCGAACTTGACTTTTTGAGTCCCACGCAGAGTGATGTTTCTTCAGATTTGAGTTTTTGGTCGGAGAAAAAGAAAGCTTGATTAGTTGTTGGGTCACAAAAAGACACAATAAGAGAATCATCCTCGGCGATTCCAACACACCTACCTTTGTGTTCAAACTGAATTCGAAATAACTTTTTAGTCATATTCTCGGAAGTAATGCTGTTTATGGTGATCATCTCGTACGAAGAATGAGCTCCTATTAACGTTGGTCTTGTATATGAGGTCAGTAGTTCCTGCTCTGTAATCTTCTGGTATGGTTCAATTAAAACGTTTATAACGGTCTCCTTGTTTTGGTCATTCTCTATAAAGTTTAACCCAAAGAACAGCAGAGTGAAAGAAATAATGGTAATAAAGGAGGCAGTTTTTAATTTTGGAGTTGAATTCCAGTCAGAGTCCATCGTGAGTACTTCAACAACACGTAAAATAAAGGAAATAGTTTAAAAGAAGGCAAATCATAAATTAGTTTGTGACCACATGGGGTAATGAAAAGAGAACAGTAGTAGTAATTAACTGATATAGGGAATGTAAATAGTAAATAATTGTGTAGTATGAAAAGCTAAATATTCATCTGTGTCGTTTTGGTTATTTATTCTCTTTATTAAGATGGTATTTTACTATCCCGGCAGATGAACTGTAAGGAATGAACATTATATGAACTATTCGCAATGATGCTCCAAACTACAGAGCAATACTTGCAAACTCGGTAATAATGAAGATTGAGTGTTGAGTGGAATGTATATAAGTGTCACTTGCTAGATGACTATAAGGTGTCACCTACACTTCCAGTACAGTATGTGCACTCCCTTGGGGATAGACTACTAATTATAATGTACGCTCTCACTGGACTTAAAGGGTTAGTGCACATAACGCTATAATTGCAATGTATAATGTGACATTGTTAAATTACTTTAGAGGGACTTAAGTAAAACGGAAAGAAATCAGATTACAGTAAAACATCAAATACTAGAGCTGCTGTATATTTTTACAGACAAAAATTTAGAATTAATTTATGGAGCCAATTAATTTGATCAGACACGCCAGCATGTTATTTTTTAAAGGAGTTGTGCGAGATTACAATACATACTTAACTGGTCACAGAATAATGAGTACTACCAGATCTAGTGAAACTAATTTGATCCACGATATCATGACAGGCCCTAACTGTCCTCTTCTGTCAATAAATTAGCGTACAGGCTGCTGACTTGAGTACATTGCAGCATGAGATGTCCAGAAAAATACTAATCACTCCATCAACAGCTAAAGACGTAAACAAAAACTAATGACTAAAATCTAATTATGTACTTGGATCAATTATCAAATCAAACAATCAAACGACTTACTTTATCTTGAATTTCTCTTGACATGCCATAGGCTGGTCCCCGGTTAGCCATCTTGCCCCTGTCAGATAACTGTAAGTGAGCAATGTATAATCAGTAGTAATAATGATGTGATTATAAATTGTATACATTGTACAATCAGTAATAATGATGTGATTATAAATTGTATACATGTAGTTATTGACTACTGATTTTACATTGTATTATATGATCAAGTCTTTATGTTTCACTCATTTGTTGATAAGTGGTGTCATATATATACGCTAATCTAACTGCATACAATTCGATTACACTATTGATTGCTTCAGTGCAAATTGATACAGTTATCGCACGAGGCGAAGCCGAGTTCGAATACTTCAGTTATTTCACGAGGCGCAGCTGAGTGCAATAACTGGTGTAATCGTATTATACTACATGCAGGTAGATTAGTGTATAACTCCACGCTTTTGGTGTTAGAATCAGTGCAATTAGTTTATAATCGCACTGGCTATTCGAGCTTTTCATTTAGAATTAAGTCCTTCATATTATGGAGCCAGAGTGTGAGTGTTTTGAGAGCAACTGACAAAACAGTGCGATTAGTTTATAATCGTACTACCTGTCAACTGTCAAGTCACAAGTTTCAAAACTTATGATTTACACCCCTAAAACAGTATTAATATTCTTGACACCAATTATAGTATCATAGTCACAACCTATAATTATATTTATGTCTTTGACATAGACAACTTTAACTTCAAGATACAGATTACAGATCAAATATGCTTTATGTTAATATTTTGTATAAGTATTACGGCATTGTCTTATCTTAAAAATACAGAACTAATATTAGTATGTATTAGCTCTCATCAATTGCTGTGAAACGCTCAGTTGTCCATTATCAGGTCGATTTGATTATTGGGACGATATTTCCATGCACCACAACATGGCAACAAACAATCAGCTGCCATAGCGGCCCCGTAACAAAAGCAAAAAAGCGGTCTAAGCCCAGTGGCGTAACTTTGCCTGTTGGCGCCCCCCCCCCCCCCCCCGCTCAGTGAAGAAAAGCGCCCCTCTAAAATTTTTTGTGTCCCTAAAAAAAAAAAAAAATTAAAAAAAAAAGTCTGGTACTTTTTTTCTCGCCCCCCCCCCCCCCCCCCCCCCCCCCCTAAGGCTTTTTGCGCCCCCCTGAAGCAAAAAAGGGAACCCCAAATATTTTTTTCACGTCGACCGAACGCTAAATTGGACAGGGAAATACACAAACAAGACGATTTTTCAGTGAAAGGGCCTAAAATTCAGGAAAATTGCGCCCCCCTTATACGGCGCCCCCCCCCGCACAGCGGGGTCTGCGGGGCCCTAAGTTACGCCACTGCCTAAGCCTCATAGCTAATAGGGTCTCAGAGAGTCAGAGCAGTGAATACGTTGGCACGTCACTTGCATCTGTCAAGATGATTCGTTCTTCTATTGTGAATCGCTGTGGTCACGCGAACCTAACATTTCAACGGATAACCGTCAGCCCGCCCTCGTAGCCTCACCGTGTGGCTCTTTATTTACACTGCACTATTGAGCTTTATTATTAACATAATATTATGCTAGTCAGTGGCGTAACGTTGCCTGTTGGCGCCCCCCTGCCGAAAAGGCGCCCCCCTGTTGGCGCCCCCTCCCCTTTTGGTGCCCCTCCCTAAAATTGAACAAATTAGGTGATGTTAGAGGATACGCCGGTAAAAATCTCTAAAAAAGTGTGTATCTAGAGCAAAACGCGCAGTTTTGCTAGAACTTTAGTTAAGTTTTCGAAATTGTCCCACATTCAAACAACGATTTGGCGCCCCCCTAAGACGGCGCCCCCCTGCACAGCGGGGTCAGCGGGGCCCTTCGTTACGCCACTGATGCTAGTGCAATTAATATAATGTAAACTTATGTTAACGTATGGGCAGGAAATTGCGGAACACGATATTAAAGTATCTTTCAGAAAATCAGTGCAATTAGTATTGTAATTGCACTTAATATGTTTTGATTTCTCTCAAAACAGTGCAATCAGTTTTGTAATCGCACTCCCTGAAGAAGAAAAAAAAACGGTGCGATTATGAAAAAAAATAAGTGGCACTCAAATAGGTCAAAAGTGGAGTTATATAATGAATTGGCCTATTTTATCACATAGATTGAATTCATATCATAACATGAATTCATATCGAAAACAGTCGTTTTAAAAACAGAATGCTGTTATCTTATGTTTCTGTAAGAAAGTAAAGTAAAGTAAAAATTATGACATAACATCATCACACATGTCTACAAAGTATCAAATCACTATATTATGGAAAAATATAAATATCTTACCACCAAAATTAATAAATTATCGACTACAACTTTATTTAAAAAATTCAAATAAATTCAAAAAGCATCCCAAAACATAACCCTATTCATACTTCCCAGTGGGGGCGCTGGTGGCTAAGTTGGTAAATCCGCCTGGCATTGCTTGAGGTGCCAGGTTCGATTCCCGACTCTGCCACTAGCCTTGGGCTTGGTGGTGTAGTGTCGGGCAGCGCGGCCAGCAATCGATAGATCGCTGCTTCGGGCCCCAGCACTGCATCATTAATCCCAGCCCCCCTGCTGTGTGGAAACAGCAGAGTAAACCACACCAATTACAACAAATCGAAAACTACACTTAGTTCTGAGAATAATTCTCTCGGAGGCGGTTGTATGTGAGTAGAAAGCGTGACGACGCTTCCAATTAACGTACCCCAATTGCAACAAACACACAATACACACAATATATAATAAAACAAATATTTTTAATAAAACAAATATCTATTTTTACGGCACAATCAAACAATATCAATAATAAATAAATCAGGGGAGGTTTGAAGAGGTTTCAAGTGCCGAAGGCCACTGCTTATCTTTAGGATTTGAGAGTGACCTATTATACAAATATAAAAAAAGCGCTTTTTTGAATTTAAAAGCGCTTATAAGCGCTTATAAGCGCTTTTAAATTCAAAAAAGCGCTTTTTTGAATTATGACATCAATTATAGTCGATTATAAGGGATTTTTTAAAACCGTTTATAATCGTAAAAAAAGCGATTGTAAACGATTTTTTTTTTAAAAAGCGCCGAAAAAGCGCTCAATAAGCGATTATCGGCGCCGATCATAAAATATCGTTTATGGAAACTTGCCGATTTAATAATACCTGACGAGGCTGATAAGTCTGAATTTTTGGAAGAACCCGGGATTATTATCCCATCTACATTAGCATCACATATTTCGAATACATAGGGGATGAGATCATTCCATATTTTCGTAGAGGTGTACAAAAAGTTCTGTTGGGAGATATCTAACCTCAGTAATGGGACAATCAGACGAAGTTTTTCATTTCTAGGACAGAACTTGAAAAGATCTTTAATCGACTGGGGGACATCAAATTTAAGAATTTTGAATAGCTCCATAAATGTATGGTACATGTGCAGATTCTCCAGGTTCATAATTTTCTGCTCAGTGAATAGCGGTTTAGTGTGTTCAAGACAGTAGTTCTTGCTAGCCATATGTTCGTTATAAGTTCTTGAACGTGCACAGGTTAAGTAGTATTCTTTATGATCAAAATTGGGAATGTTACCAAATAGCAGTCTTATACATCGTTTTTGAATTGCAAAGATTTTATTCAGCTTATGTTTAGGGATCCACCCCAGCAACTTATACAATAGCTAAGATGTGACATAAAAAGAGCATTGTATAGTTTCAAATATTCAGATTTGGGAATGAATTCAAATATTCAGATTTTGGGAATATAATAACGTGTACACATTGCCGTTACATCCGATAAGACGAGCAAATACCTTACTAAGCCTTGTGCACGTCACCAATATATACCAGTTACACTAAATACACCAAAACATTAACTCCTCGGCATCGACTTGTGGTTGTGTGTAAGATTAATGGCTTAGCAAGGAGTGAGTATAAACGCATATCAAATATAAGTATGCAATCCCCGGGATCTACAGCAGTCATTCTTAGGAGGGGCGCCCCCGACCCAACTGCCATTGCTCAGCAATGGTACCAGCAGATTCGTCCTGGAATAGTGGACTCGATGCAAATCAGCTGGGCTTCAGTAGGACCCATCGTTCTCATGGGTCGCTTGCTCGCAAGAGTCAAGTCAGTAAGTGTTGCACCAAAGAAAAAAAAAAAAAAAAAAAAAAAAAAATACTTCCCAGTGGAATAGATTTATAAATGGAAACAAGGATAATCGTTATGCTTCTCTTTATTACTAACATAGCTAGGTCCTTCAATTCTCCCTAATACTTCATTTGAAACGTTCCAAAAATAAAAAATTATATTGTTTACATTCTTTGCCAGGCTGCTAAGATAGCTGAGCAGAAGATGAGGCTGGTCATCTTGCCAGACAAGACGAACTGGCCCATCAGCTTATCCTCTGAGAACGCTTTACGGACATCGGCGTAGGCAAGACCACACCTCACATACAGTGGCGTAACGTTGCCTGTTGGCGCCCCCCTGCCGAAAAAAGCGCCCCCCTGTTGGCGCCCCCTCCCCTTTTGGTGCCCCTCCCTAAAATTGAACAAATTAGGTGATTTTAGAGAATACGCCGGTAAAATCTCTAAAAAAGTGTGTATCTAGAGAAAAACGCGCAGTTTTGCTAGTACTTTAGCTAAGTTTTCGAAATTGTCCCACATTCAAACGACGATTTGGCGCCCCCCTAATATATAAGACGGCGCCCCCCTGCACAGCGGGGTCAGCAGGGCCTTTCGTTACGCCACTGCTCACATAATATGTTGACTTTCTGTGGAGGGAAATAGGGCTTGAGGACAGCAAGATATAAAGGCCCATGCTGGATGGACAAATTTGAAGAAAGATCATATCAGCTCAGACATTGAAGTCGCCCTAAGTCGAGTAAGTTGAAGTCAACCATTAATTTTCCTGAAAACTATATAATAGGAGCATCAGCGGCAGGAGCTACTTCTTGGGAAGTTTATAGGGCCTGTCATTCTGCCTGAAGTCCCCAGGTAAGGGAAATTTTGTTTAATAATGTCAATGAGTACTCGCCCCCACTCTTTGTGTTACAAGGTGTAATGAGGTGATCCGA